GAGTGTTCTACCGAGTCTTGTAGCGAGTGTTCTACCGAGTCTTGTAGCGAGTGTTCTACCGAGTCTTGTAGCGAGTGTTCTACCGAGTCTTGTAGCGAGTGTTCTACCGAGTCTTGTAGCGAGTGTTCTACCGAGTCTTGTAGCGAATGTTCTGAATACCAACAATTTTACAAAATTGCAACTAGAAAAATAGTTGAAACTTGAAAACTTCAGAATGTCAATTTATAGTAAGTTTGGTAACAATGGAACTCCATCAAATATGAATGGTTGTAGTAATGCATCCATAAAGAAAGACTTACAGCGCGGTGGTCGTCGTCCAGCGTGTATTTAAATTTCATGTAAACAATGTATTTTACATGCGTTGTGTACATCGCTATGAGTCCCATATCGAACAGGACGCGGTCTGACCACCACCTCCCTTTAATGAATATTTCTGTTTGATGAATATTCCTGAATGTTTCTTTACAGTGATATTGGAATCACCGAGGATATGGTAATGAGATACCTGAAGCGTAAACCAATGACAACCAAGGACTTACTGCATAAATTACGAGCCAAAAAGACTGGGATGAAACGTGATGAAATTGTACGAACATTGACAGACATTATCAGGAAGTTGAATCCGCAAAAGATCAATCACAAAGATAAAACATTGTGGTTTATAAAATCATAAATTATATTATTATCATTCTGTGAACACTGTTGGCTGTAATTTTGGCTCAGGTATACTTCTAATACCGTGTTGGTGGATTCGTAATCTTGGAAACTTACCACAAATCATTGCAAAAATCAGGGTAGACTTCAACTGATTCCTTTTTGATATCTTCTCTAGTTTGTGGTTGAACAATGAATTGGCATAAAAAATGTTTACTATCCAAATGTATAGAAACCATACTCATTGTATATATATATTACTCTTATTAGTAGCGCATATGCTTGTGTAACTGACAGAGATGTATCTATGGAAAAACTAAATCACATTTCAAAGATCTAGTACCCACCTGAAAACTCTTTTTAATATTTACTTCAAAAAAGTTGAGTTTTTAGAATACAAAATTATTTTCAAACTTTACAGTAAATTGTCGAACTATTAGAGTAAAAACAGGGATGGGAATTTCAATTTTCAGCTGAAAATAAACTGTAGTTGATCAAATCGTTACAATACAGACACTGCGCCTTTCCCAGGACCTCGCACTTACCGATGAAGTCACTCAATTTTTCAGTTACCACTTCATCTTTCTTTTCGATTCGCACGGTCAAAGTCACTTCCTTGTCAAGCAATGCCCAAAGGAATTTGTTCCTAACGTCTTTATCGATCTCTCGCACAGTGGACTCTGTCTTTTGTAAACAATTTTACCATTATTGCTGCATGAAACTTGTAAACAATGATCCAAGGCAGCTAACAATTGAAACAATAAAATGACGCAGTTGGTGAACGAAAAATGAAAGCTCTTCACTGATTGGCCTGTCAGAACAAACCTAGCCAATCATGACATCACGAGTTGTCTCCCTTTGACTATGCACTGAATACAGGCCTTTTACAGCTGACAACAATGACCCGACAGAGTGTTCACTGTAGTGAATGAACAAGATTTGTATTTTTACCCCCCTAAAATTCTCTCTTCAGATTTAGACGTTTCAGAAAATCGATCCCTAGGGCTTAGAAATCTGCAGAAAATTCTCATCCCTGTAAAAATCAGTGATTACAAAACAAAACAAAATCATTTGTGAAGTTCTACCCCCCTCAAACAAAAAACAGATTACAAATAGGAGCGAGTTAACACTATGGAAAAGACTTTATTTTGTGATTAGGTGAAATACATTGTATTTGTTATCATTCTGAAAGCTGTTAAAACCCTTTCAGTACGCATTATACCTTACAAAATGTGTCTGGTTTAAAAAAACATCATACATCATGTACTGGTTTTATTACATGCCTCTCTCAACAAAATATACTTTGAAATTTGATGATGGCTGCCACTAGCATAGTAACGGCCCGTCAAAAATTGTTAATACAAGCTTCAGTGGACTGCAAAATACTTTCATGAACCATGTCTTGCATTTGTATGAAGAAGTGAGCTAAGTGAGAGTAAATATAATTTTCAAACTTGTGTCTCAATTTGTGGCTTCTGTAGGATTCCTAAAAAGATCTTTTGTATAAAACGTGTTTTAGTTAATAATTTTGTATTTAAGTAAGTATTTTATCATGCCTATCTGAATACAGAAGCTCATATATTCATAAGGAAAAAACACAATTATTTTAAAAATGATTTTATTGCCAAGTTAAATAACAGTCCATTTATAGTCAAATTGTTTTGTACTTGCACCTGTATTTTCTTCGCTTGGAAAGAAAATTATTTTGTACACCTTGTGTGGGAGGAATTCACATCTGCTGATCAAAGTTATACCTTGCTAGCATGGACTTTTGTGTTAACTAATAAAAGATATCGGCAACCAGGATTGTTTTTAGTTATCATTTGAGTGGTTTGACATGTGATGATTCACTTCAGTAAACCATAGTAAAATATGTTGAGAAGATTTCTTCACCAGCTTTTATGTCTCTTGTTGAAACTAGAATCACTGTACGTATAAACCTACAAAAAAAGGGAAATCAAGAAAATTATTTTGCCATGCTAATAAAATGAATCATATGGTTCAGTTTCACAAATTATCCCTACCTTGTTTCAGTGTTATGATGAGTGCTACTGTATCTAATATTAGGTATATATTTCATCAGATGTAGTGGGAAATCATCTGTCACATCATATTCTTGATATACTACATTGGCAGGAAATTCTGAAAAAAAAAACGATATAAGAACAAATGAATACTTGTGGAAAATTAGCGTACAAGGACATATTAAAAAGTATAACAATTGCGACATTGGTACGATATGAAACTTCTGGAGTAGACTTAAATGTTCATGGCAGAACTTGATTGCACTCTTTATCTCTGTCCATTCTGTGATACCAATTTGAATCAATAGTGATCTTTATAATTATATCAATTTAGTAAAATATCTATCATATATTTTCATCAAATTTAATAAATAAAGGAAGTATTTGTAACACGTTTGAAAAAATCACTTTGGGTTTTTGGATAATACTATGTTTTATAGTTAGAGATTAAAGCTTATATACAAGGCAGAATTTGATTTGTCGAAATAAACCTATTAACAAACAAGCTTCTCTCTGATTGGTCTACCGGTAGGTATTAGGGTTGGGTAGCCAATCAGGAACAATCTTGTAAGTAGTCACATTGACTAAAGTTCTATAGCTTTTCACTCTAATGTTTAATAAATGAAGATTATAAAATAACGTGACCTTTATACATACTGTTGAAGTTGTGAGAGTCAAGTGTGAGTCTCTTCAAACCATATATAAAAAGAAATTATAATCGATTTTTAATAGCTAAAACGTTAGTAAAAAATAGTCTAGGAGATATATCATGCATTTCAGATATTGCACCCCAAATGGCAACATATTCTCTCCAATGTTTAAATGAAAAATGAGTATGGCCTTTGGAACTTGTACATGTAGCACCCATAAACAAATATATTTGTTTTGGTCTAATTCTTTTAGTAATGAATCATGTAGAATCATGCAAAGTTACTACAAATTAATGTCAGAACCAGAACTTGTGGAAATTCATTCAATTGAAAGGAAACAATAAAATTGCCATGACTGGACCAGCAGTAGCATGGCACAGAATTGTAGCAGAGCCGCTAAAATGCATTACAATGTTGTGGTTCGTTCCCAGTCACGATTGTTCTTCCCTATGTTTATCATGATGGCTCAGTTTATAAATGGAGCTTCTTGTCTTTATAAAATCTATACAGATTGTGTGAATCCTGCTACCTAATTGGTGGAAACAATTAAGTAACTTACTTTTTGACTGGTTATTAACATATTGTCCCAATGCTAATGGGTTGAGTAAACCATCTGATGAAAGCCAAGACATATCACTAGTCATGTAAGGACCTGATCGCTCTCTTTTACTGCAAGATCTGAAAATTTGAATATATTAGCAAGGAACCTTGGTGATGGTATAATGGTTTTTGAGTTTACATCGCATCAGAGAGGTTCTGGATTTGATCCCCAGAGATGACTGTTTACTCAGCAATATAAATTTGAGTACAGTCTGGCCTGCCTTCCAAACATGCACATGCACAAACTTTGCACATATGCACTTGCAATTAGCACCTAAGACAACAAAATCAGGTGAGACAGCAGTGACTTCAATTTTCAGAATTTTCACCTGGTACAAAAATATTTGTATTAGCAAGGGATGACATCATCCTCTGGATAAATTCAATTTACTTATAATTTATTCATTCAAGGTATCAATGTGATAATTCAGAAAAGTCAGAAAACCTGCTACCAGTGAAAACCATACCACATCAACCTCAGCTTATTGACCTTTTTGTTTATACATATTTTTGTGGCAGGCGACATTTCTGGACACAAAAGCCATTTTTTGCCCATTGTACTGGTAATCAAACACAAAATCTGTCAGATACAATTTTGCGGTATTGCACTAGGTATTTTCATCCTATCATATTAGGAAATGCAAATTCCAAATGTGGAATGATTACGTGCATAAGCGTCATCTAATAATAAAAACAAACATGGCTGCCCCCAGGGTTTGACCGGACCCCACACAAAGAAATTTGCTAAATCTGTTCTAAACGTTTTGGATTTGGGCATTCCCATGATGTATGCCTGGGAGGAAAAAATATATAATAATAAGGTTATTACAAAGATACTGCAAAGTATGCACTCAAAGTACTTTTTAATTTTTGCACACCCTTAGTCATTTGGTAATATATATTTAAAGATTTCAGACCTGTAAATAAGCTTGGATATACTTTTATCATTACCATCAATTAATAAACCATCCAGACATCGAAATATAAATGGATTGCCAATAGACTGTAGTAGGATTGGTTCATAAGTAAAGTATACAGTACCTGTAGGAGAAATGTACGTGAAATAATATTATCATGTTTGCATATACAAGGATCTGTATCGTTGCTGACCAGGACAAAAAGTTGTTGATTAGCACTATTCTATTTGTTTATGATACACACAGGATGTCGGATAAATATATTGTATGTGCTCTTAGAAGTGCTTCTCTAATACAGTGATAGGCAAAAGGCCGTACTTTAGTTTATAAATGTATTTATAAAAATTTGTAAATAAAGATCAGCAGCTTACATTTGAATTTAAATATTTGATAGTGATTGGCTCAAGGAGCTCCACATTGTCTATACCCATACATAATGTATGCACATGCCTTCATGTGACATAGCAACTATGACCGACAGCCTTTTTAAAATAAAGCGCTTGCTGATTAAATTAGATGATTTTACCAAATCATTTCTGGAATAGTCAATTTGAACCATTTTAATTAATAAAAATGTACATTTATAAAATGTTTATAACGTCCCCAGATTTCTGACATTCACTGTAGAATCCCACATAAATAAAAATTTGCATTCATTAAATCATAACCATAGATAACCTCTGTTATTTACATAAGCATATGTGCTACTAATAGAGCAAATATGGTAGATTACAAACAATGAGAAAAATGAGATGCTGTATTGTAAGTCGTTTAACGTTGTTTCATTTGCTACGAGCACATCCAGTAAAGTCTAAATGAGATTTTTGTATGATGCTATACTTCAGGACTGATTTTAATTCAGCACTCAAACTGGCGAGTCATTTGACAATCTGCGGCAGAAGATGATCACATTTTAGGTGTAACTAAATTTGTCTTGTTGATGAGTTGCAAAGACTAGTGTGCCATCTAAACTGATATGATATACCAATAACGCAAACAAATCTCTGGCATCATTGACACAACAGACAATGCAACATTGATATAGTGATCTTAAAAAAACATTCTACTATAATTACAGAATATTGTAAAATGCAATTCACATTTTATAAGTAAATAGGAAAGAACAGTGGCCACAACTTTTTTGTTTGTGCCTTCAGTCACCTATAAGGTCACACACAATTTTAATTTTTTACTGACCTCTCAAGCAGTCAACAAGATGATTTAACTTGATTTTAGGAGTTCCATTTTGACAAAACCAGTCCTGTTAGAGGGCACACTGGAAGGACCCAGTACCACCAATGTGACTCACCTGGATACATTGCCAACACAGTTCCTTTGGGTACAGCACCATTTGTAACATACACCCCAGTACCACCAACTTGACTCTTAGCCTTCTCTACTGTAAACCCTAGTACATCTCTCATAACTCCTAGTACTATTTCAGGTTTAGATGATACACCATTTATTTTAGTGAATAATGTCTTCAATGTGTCTTCAACTTGTTTATCTGATATGACTTTGTCTTCACTACCTTTGGGTACTCCACGTATTGTTCTGTAATTGTATAACAAAAACAAAATGAAATTTGAACAAACACTGCATGATGAAGTTTCAAGAAATTGTTGGAGTTGATTTCCTCACCAGAAATAGCAATTGTAAAGCTTTTAGTTGATTTTCAAGGATTCTATGATTTTAAATAAACTCAATTTGAAACAAGGAATCTAATTTTCGTTACTGACTATGACATTCATTAAATTGGTTTAGTAACAAAACATGCGATTTGGATATACCTGTGCAATTAATGGAATGTCTGGGTGAATGCAGATGCAAAGTTATAACACTATGGTTCAAATGTGATGTGATACAAAAATGTAGTTTGTGCTGTTCAATTTATCAACCTACGCAAACCATGTTTTCTTTTCGACTACCCATTCTCAGGTGACCGTGGACACCAGCTAGAACATGTGAAGTGCACAAAATATACAGAATATCTGAGGTCATTTTTGTTGTTGTAATTAACGAGTCATCAAAAATATGCTCATATTTTACTGTAGGATCAAAGGCATTGTATTGTATGTGTATGATAAATAAATAAATTGCATTTTCGAGTGATTGTAATAACTCCTTTGGTTGCAATTAGAAGAAATCAAGCAATTCTATAAAGATTACCACTTTCATGTTTTACATAACAGAGAGCAACTTAGTACCTGTTTTTGAAGTTCAGTGCTATCCAAGGCACAAAACGATATCGATAACTTTTCCATCTTGCAGACAGATTCTTTATAAGAGTGTGGAACATAGATATATATATATATATATCCAATATCGTGATTATTACACAAAAGGGATCAGAACTTTTCCTCTTCTCAAACTCATCTCCAGCTGGAAAGAATGAACATTACGAAGTACTACATTTGTATTAAAAATGTACTGGTATTTACAATTCATATCTATACACAGAAAGGCATAAAGCTGGGAATAATATAAAAGTTTTATACATATACATTTTTGTAAATCAAAATGACTGGTAGAATTAAAATTGACCAACCTAGAAATGATATAGTGACTTCATCGCGAGTTCTAATTAATATTATGAGTTATTTCAGCATCATCCAATCAGCAAGCCATTAATTTTGAATAAGTAGGCGATCGCATCCAATATGGCCGTAGACAATGTAGAGCTTTTGAGCCACCTATTATTAAATACATTTATAAACAAAGCCCTAGCTTTGTGCCATTCACTGTCACTGTATTGGCCAATGAAATAACATCGGATCATTGTCAAACATTGAATTAACGGAAATGGTTTGTTCAGTAATGCAATTTAATTCTATATAAGCATGTGATTTAATTGATTATAATTAAATTTAATGTATCTTACATTAGGATAAAGATATGAACACTATATATTGATCTAAACCCTAAGCCTACTAGATACAAACATGTATTTTTAAATTGACTTCTGTAATTCATAACAATTTCCTAGATCTGCAATATCTGTTTGATTCCACATTTTCTAGATAATCGAGAATTACAGTTCTGCATTCTGTAGTCAGTTATAAACAGGTG